AGTTTTATGTGCAGACAAACCTTTCCATTCTAGTCCATGTGTATAAAAAAAATAACACGCGCAAAAAAAACCCCAGAAAAGTGCAGCTATCAACATGATGACTGCTAAGTAAACTTGAACAAGGAAACGAAAAACGACACATAATTTGGTAAGCAGAGTCAAAATGTGCTCGCTACTACAGGACGCTTGCTTTAGCCACAGCTGATGGTTTAATACTGCCGCCTAAGAAAACAAATGTTGCAGAATATGAGACCAGGATGTTAATGTGGCGATTTTGGCATAGACTTTTTGCCTTGAGCTTTATATTTCAGAAGCTAGAAGACCTAGGCAGTAGATACTTCATATCGTGTATACAGATGTCTTATATTCTGAAGTTTCAGCTTGCCATATGTCAGCGCTCAATGACCTCATTTTTATAATTCATGAATTGCTTAAAAAATGCAAAGATTTTTTGGTCAAGTGAATTTTTTGAGTTATTATGAGTAAAAAGACAATTACATTTGGTGTATAGAATAATTGTATTGTGTACATGTCTGTCACATAAGATACATATGACCTTGACCTCATTTCATAGATCCGTGATCAACGTTACGTTTTGGTTATGGGGTACGTTACAATTATTGGTAGTTGCATTTTCTTGATAAAAAAAATAGCGAGGAAGTTGTCTTACTGCCTTAATGGAAGAAACGCAACTGATTTTTTTTTTAAGGTTTGAGGGTAAAAAACCTGAACATACAACTTCTATTGCTTAAACATATTTTACTTGAACAGGGTTACAGATACAAGACTTAAATACCTTCAAAATATTTTATAGAAGTTAGGATATTATCTGTTAATATAATGTTTCTCGTAAAACAATATATAACATTATACATTCAAGAGTGCACACGCTGAAATATCTCGCCGGCTTTACTGATTATAACTGAATTTTAGGCTGAAAGTCTTAAAGATCAAGGTTACAGATATGACAGTAACCTATCATTATCTAGTATCCATGAAAATGAGGTCAAGATCTAATGAACCCTGCCAGAAGAATATAGAGAAGAATATAATGTACAATATACATTTCATTGTATAAGTAAGAGTAAAGAGGGTTGCAATGTTTGATTTCTTACCCTATTCAAACGTTTATTTTTTTAACTTAAAAATATAATAAAAGAATAAGTGTAACTTTGTAATAAAATTGAGCAACGTAGATACAAATATTCTATTTTAAGAACGTACAAATTATACTTGCAAAAACAAAAATCCTCTGATTCAAACAAGAGACTTGAACTGTGAAACTGACATGATGCTTGATTTTTTTTTTACAACAAATGTGTTACTTTGGTGGACATGTTTTAACAGAAAGTCGACATTCCTTTGGGAAAAAACTGTGCTTCTCTTCTCCCGATATTTTCATCTATCATGAGGCAGATTTTTATAGTTAATCCAGTTATAACCTATCCACGCATCTTGGCAAAACCCTTAAACGTATAAACTTACAAGACATAGCTGAACTGATATAAACTTTAATATAACTGAATCTGTACAAAACCATTTTAGATGTCATCAGCATTCTGTCAGTTAGTTTTTGTTATGATCTGGACCTGTCTTAACTTAAAAACGAAGACTTTGAATATAAACCAGAATAAGAAAGAAAGAGACAAACATCACTGCTCTTAAAAATTGAAAATGGAAACCGAGTTTTCAAACATTAATAAGAATAAGAATATTTATTATTCCAATATTTTTTTATTATTAATACTAGTAGTTGAAATGTATGTATATATATGAAAAGTCCTCTTGATAATTTCAAAATGCATTTTTTTATGATTATGAATCTATAGTTAGTTTTTATTATCCTGCATAAAAATGGCACCAAGAGTGGTCTGGGGCATATAAATATGGTGACCTGGACTTTTCTCGTCCGGCAGTAATCCCGAGACGGTGTTCATTTCAAGGCATTTCGGGATGTACGTAGACTATACCCGGACACGTCATGTCAAAATGGACCCCATTGGAGACTTCAAATCTTGTAGTTCACGTGGCGAGAGTGATCGCTTTCTGTACGTTAAGAACCGTGGCAAAAACTCTCTGAAGGGTTCGTATGTGGATCTGTTGGAGGGCAATACTTCTGTTCCTATCCAACATACCAGTACCCTCTTCTCCCCGTGGCACTTCAAATTTTCAGCCCTTCATTCTGGTCAACCCATTTTGCAGAAACTACTTACTGGATTTATTTTTATTTGTTTTCGTTCTAAAGAATTCTAAAGGGTTGGCTTGGGTATAGAAATAAGGCTAGCCTAGGACACACACTTACTTAAAAGGATTCTCCGTTTGACTTTTCGGGATGCTCAAATACGCAGCTACGTCCGGTTGGGATGTGGACGTAAACCGTGTTCGATGTTTGTGGTTGGGAGAGTGCAATGCTCGTTACACGATAAAGAACCTTCAAAAGCTCTTTCAGATGGTTGTAGCTGACATTTTGCACGACAAAATGTATGACCCTGTCTAATATGCCCTCCATTTCCTGTTGCAGTCGCAGTTCCTGCCCTTCATCTTGGGCGAATTATCTCGTTCTGAATATGCATGATATGTTTGTCGCATGACGTTATAAACAAAACACAATCAATCAATCAAACGTATATAAAATTTGAGTTTTTACATTGTTAAAATTTGAAGCTCTTTTGTATCGTCGGTTTCGCCCTTGAACCATCGCGGTCTTTGAACCAAGCTGAGGCTTGAACTCCTAACCTCTCTGAATCTATTCTTCAGTCACTAGAATAAGGAAATAAGGATCAAGCTTCGCCTCTAAAAATTACTTTTCAGACTTTCCCAGTGTCGGGTTAACTTTTTTTTAAAGTGGTGACCCTACAAATAAAAATAATAATTAGTGAGTTTGACTTTTTTGTTTTTTAAAGGTTGTTGCAGTATCAACTTAGCCAAATTTATGATATTGCGGAAAGACTGATACAGGCCGTTGGTAGAGGGAATACAATAGATCAGATTTTATTTACGGATGTGTTTTGTTAAGAAAAATTAATATTTAATAAATACTTCAAAGATTTAAATTTCATATAAGTATTGAGGTCAGTGTTACGCATATACATTTAAAATTGTTGGGTAACGTTTTAAACATGACCTTAAACCTTTGAATTGAAAGAATAGTAACACAATTCCCTGTTATAACATTCTATGAATTGTATTGTATTTGTATGTGATTATATAACATGGAAATAATAGAGAATATTGAAATAATGAGCGTATTAGTCCACAAAAACGCTAACTACGGTCACATCTGGGACCAATATATAAATGTATTATTCCAAGGTCACAGTAGTGGATAAGTTGGGTAAGAATTTATCACAAACAGAAATAAAGCTGGCTTCATTCAAATAGACTTTAAAAGGTATTTTAATTTGAAATTCCTAGTTTGTAGTTCTTTAATAAATACTTTTTAAGGAAGTGCAGTTTTGTTTTAGATTTTATGTGGAAGAGTATTGTTTTAATACTGAATAAATGGAGATGATGGGTACAAGTCAATGTGATAGTAATCAAACGAAACAATAATCTAACTCGTCACATCCAGAGGTCAATATACAGTCCTTTAGACAAGACTTAGTGTCTACACACTATGTTATACTCTAAATCACTCCTTGCCTATAAAAGTTGTGAATACATTTAAGCAATATACAAATCATTGATTTAAGATAGTACCAAAGACCTGCCATCAACACAACACAACACTCCGATATAACAATAGGCAAGCACTGAAATTACCTTCCTTACCGCTCTTATATTCAAAGATTACCATTCTCTGAAAACACAAAAGATTTATATAAGAACTGATTCAATATAAGCCAAACATGTAAAATGTAAAAACCAATAATATTATGATGAAATGATGGTGAACTAAAGTTACACTATACACATTTTACGATAATATCCCTTACATGCTTTCATTGTCCATCATTTTCCAGTATAAGAGCATAGTAACTAGATGAATGACTCAACCGATCGTGCGAGACCCTTTTGGGTAGTCGAGGTGAAAAAACTGATGCAGATTTTCCCACAAAAAATATGTGTAACATGGACACCAACCTTAAATCAAATAGCTGCAACAACTGGCTAAAAATGACCACACAAACGGATGTAAAATTTAACATGTCAATTTCACTTTCTATACTAGATAGTTCCATTCCTATTGTCTTATTCAACTAGGTATCCGTCCATGACGATGTGCTATATTTCAAATCAACTCGAGAACTTCCCACCAAACGCCAAAGCTTCGAGACATAAATATTTGAGTTATTGCAATTCATAATAATGTCAACTGGTGACAGTGTTGTTTTGGGAGGATCATTTAGTTAATATGTTTGGATAATTATTGGTTGTAAGAATAAGATGAGAGGTATAGACCCCCTCCCCCCAACCCCACCCCACATAAAAAAGCAACAAAGAACAAAAACAAATGAGTACAAAATATATTTTGTCTGTGATAAGGACATTTATTTGTAATGTGCAATGTTTCTTTTTAACTCGAAATACGCATTACCCTCAAATGACCTCATTTCGGTATACAAAAAGTCGCCATTGTATAATATTTACTTGAATGTTGAAGGCCGTTTACTTTTCAATGTCCTTATATAATTTTCCAATACACTTATTTTTATTTTTTCACTTGAATAGGTTTTCTGAATGTTTATATAAATATGCAGTTGTTTACTGTATATACATAAACCTGTTAGCTATTTTCACTAAATTAAGAAAATACTTGTGAACAAAATAGGGTTTTCACTTTTGAGCTCCACAAGAATGTATTGCAAGTTTTGTTTTGTGTCCACAAGAATTTATTGCAAGTTTTGTTTTGTGTACAGAGAACGTTATATTCCCGAAACTGGAATTGAAAAGATGTTCTTTTAGCACAAGTCATACTTATTTCTATAACCATTCAACTATTGGGCCCTTCTTTTTCCTGTGACGGTTCGAGTTGCGGATAAACAATAAAAATTTCAGTATAAACAATAAATATTTTATAACAATAGATACACATTTACAGAATACACAAACAGAGGTAATAATTTGATTGGAAGTAAAAGTTAAAACCGTATACAATGAACTTAGATAAAAGATATGTATTATTTTGACTTTTTTAATGTAAATTTCACTTTTTTTAATTTTTGGGGGCATTTCAAAGGAATAATACCGAAATAACAATAGATGAATAACTGCAACGTGCTGAGCAGAAAGTTAAGAGGTTCATGATGGGACCCTTAAAACTGACCAATAGAAAAAAAGCTAAATAAATATTTATACATCATTGTACATTTTTCAGTTCATAGAATTAAGCAATTGTGATAAGACTATAAGGTTACAATCCTCTAAAACACACTTTTGGCGGCTCTTTTTGATTTTTATGCTCTCAAACATTTTGGCTTTCCAAACTTTCGTTCAAGAGCGCACTTGCGATTAAGTACATTAAAGTCATAACATATAAACACGTGTAACAGCCTTCGCACGAAAATCATATATACAAAATGTATATATATTATACATGTTTTGTATAATATTCAATTCTGAAACAAATTGATTTCATATACAGCAAATGTACCACAATTGGACAGCTCAATATAAATGCAGCAAGGAATTTAAGAGGTTTTGAATGGTCATGTTGAATTTTGATTGTCTGTTGTCGTTTCACTGCTTTGGCTGAGCGTGCATCGATCTACTTGGCCTGACGATTCTGGAGTAAAACCAAGATTATTGAATGAGCTTTCCGATATCACATTTTCCCCAGTGTCCTCTGTCGAAATATGTTCTACTGAGATACTAATATGATTGTCACAATTGTTCGGATTGTCTATGGATGAAGATGGTCTATGTACGGCTGTTTCATGTGAAGTTTGATGATTGGAATGATAGTAAGGATGACTTTGAGACATCTCATATAATGGATTTGGACATTCCGAGTCCATTTTAAGTACTTCAGAATAGGCTGGCGGCAAATATTCATCATTTGATTCTTTAACTACATCTTCGTATGCTGGTGGTGTGATGATATCGGCAGTCGAATCGCATCGATCACGATGGTGATCTCGAGAAGACATTAAAAGATCAGCTATGGTCGTCACCATTAATCTTCGACCTACAACACAATTATATAGGTTGACAACATGGGTGGTAAAACAATCAAATTTGTTTACGAAAAATCTCATTCAATGCCTATTTAATAACTTATTAGATTTCGTCAAAGGATAGTTGGGTTACCGTTGACTCGAGAAAAAAAATACTGTTGTTTTTATCAATTAGGTGAGAAAAAATAATAGTGTATTTACTCCTGTAACGATAGTGTTTAAGAAGTTATTTGGAACCAGACTAATACAATGTTTCTACATAATCCACCTCAAACATACATTGGCGCCTAAGGCATGAACCCCCCCTTTTTTTTTGGTTTAAGATTTTTCTTATTTAATAGGTACTTGCTCTAGTTCATACAATTCTACAATAACTGCAGTACATACGTGTTGCCCCACTCTTACTTTCGATACCTCAAGCGCCTGTGGTCTACATATGCATCTCTCGAATGCAACTGGTCGAGTTTTAGGTCAATTAATGTCTATCTACGATTTAAATTTTATTATTTGATTGTTGGACCTTGACATTTAATGTTTAGATCCATTGTTCCAGTCTATTATCGTCACGGTCACTATTGATATAGATATGTTGTACATTTGTGTTCCGATACATGTATGAAAGTTTTAATTAGTTATAAACAGCTTAGACCCAATCTTATTTCCGCTTAAATTTATCTTTCCAGTAAACTTCAATTTGTATTTGCTTCAATTCAGGCTTTTCCGACTCGTGAACTTCTTTGTCCAACTTCTTGCTTAGGTTTCTATACCATGCATGTAAAAACCACTGCATACCTAAATTTTATAAATAGTCATCTTCGTTTACTTAATGTCTTTATTCAGAATTGGAAAAAAAAACTTAACAATGTAATTGTGATTTCAGATGAAAAATCAGTTCACGTGAAATAGCATTTAAAACTAAATTATCAGGATGAGCAAATTCACCAAAGACACCGATCTATTCCAAATTTAAGCTACTATGGGAATATTTAAAATTATTGTGGTCATCTTGGCCATTATATAATTGGGAAATTTGTGATTACCAATATAAGCAAACATGAATAAAATAATGCAATCTACTTGCATGAATTTTCGAATTCATATTTAAAATGATAGTTTTGAACTTGTACAGAAAAAATAACTATGCTGGATTTATAAATAAATTTAATGAAACGATAGGAGATAGATAATTCATGTCAGTTTATTTCATAATAGAATGTAATTAATATTCATTTTCTTTTTAGCAAGAAAACCGGAACAGTGTCCTAATTGTTCTCTTATTTTTCCCTTAACTGTACGCTTTTTGTGGTTCGTCTGTTCATATTTAAATAATTACATTACATGTATATTTCATTATAATACGTTATTTTGATTGGCTAACAGCAATCTCGCGTCATTCTAAAATTAACCTTCATTTCAAAATGAAATGTAACATTCATGATGACACGAGCTTCCATAAATAAAGTGCACAGGTAATTAAAAGATAAACTTGATAGAAATCGTGTTTTCATGATCTTAGCAAAAATAATGTAATTATAAGTATTGAATGCTTCTTTTAGTAATTTTATAGGGTTGTAAAAGCGTTGACCGTGCGCACATTTTTAGAATGAAACGCTTCCGCGCTTCATACAAAATGTACTTCGTTCAACGCTTTTACACCCCAATAAATTTACAAAAAGAAGCATTCAATTCTTAAGAGAATTCTGCACTACCTCTAGCTCAAAAACATATTAAGTGACATTCACTTTTTATTATAATTGTTTGAAATAGCATGATAAGTAGTACGTTTTGATCATTTATAATACAATATTTCATAGCTCCATGTCAATGTATAGAGTTTTCTGGTGTTTTGAATGGATAATTCAGGGCTACGGAAAATCTTTGGTCCTTAATGTAATTAAAAAACAATACACGCTGAGACTGTCGACAGTATACTATGTATTAGTTAATTTTCATTTCCTACACGCGGTGTTACCCACCTCCATATCCAGGCATGCTGCCACGCAGATTCTCTTCACGTCTGGATCGACTAACATGAACCGGACGTCGACATCTCTCCCCTGTTCTCCTTAAAACCATTAAACATATTGCACAAGGAATAAGTAACCCAATGGCAAGCAACAAATATGAATACTGTGGAGGGTCTTCATTTCTGAAATGAATTATCAAAATATGAATATTGTTTACATATTTCCTTCAGTATGTTGTCTGTGTTGAAATGAGTAGTAATATTTCGATGTTATTCTTTTAGGTTCATGTTTCCCCGAAATCTTTTTTTTTTACAGGGACATTATTCATTTAATGTGAAATACAGTGCAGTATATATGCCACTAACAACAGGGCAACTGAAAAAAAAACCAATAGATATTCAAATATATTAACTATTTTGCTGATCTAGTATACATTATGGTATATGGGCCAGTGAAGCCCGCCTCAGGCTGTCCGTTTCCACAGTCTTTTCTAAATCAATAAAACAACTACTCCAATTACATACGGATAAAACTGTGTACCGATATATCATGCTGAAGTGTCATGTTGTCACGATTAACAAAACAGCAGCTACTCAACTTACGGACAGCAGGGTAAAATATCAGATTTACACTTACAAAATGTAACTTATGGATAACACGGTATAATATTAGACTGTTATCAAAATAAACATGCGATTGGTGTTACGAAAAGCATAGTATATATATATAGTACTAAAGCGTACCAAAATATTAAATAACCATGCATGAGGTGTGCTGTTACCACCACTGTCATATACTCACAGACATTATAGTATAGTATGACACATAGTTAAGGTGTGTGTTAAAAAAACAAATATAATAATAGTTACTTCAATATACAATAAAACTTGTGGACCATAGTATTAGTCTTCACATATTTGCTGTAAGTACCGAAACTTCTCATACCAATGTTACAACTGCAACCATGCATAATAGCTACTAACGAAACTAATCATTGGGCTGATTTATTCACAACATTTTCAGACTCTGGATAATTTAGAACTTGCCATGTTGAATAGACACTAAGTCGTGTCTATTTATGAGGATTTCATAATGATCTTTATATGTCATGGTTTATTCAAACTCTTGACAATTCAGAACTTGCAATACTAAATAACTATACTAAGTCTTATCTATTGTTGAGGACTTGTGTTGATCTTCAGATGTCTTGGTTATTTATGTCGTGTGGTTGCCTCAATGTTGTATACCTCACATTTCCCTCTATTATCATTACTACTGAAGCAAAGTCATTAGGTGCAATGTTACCGCCGCTGCCACAATAGCCCGTCTAATACTTACGTACAACTATATATTGTACTATAAAGCCATTCAACAGCAACAAAGGACAGTATATAATGAACACTGCAATTGACGGACATCCAGACATATGATACTGGAACATGTTATTACTTCAAACAACCATAACTGCAGCTAATCAAATACATGTAAATGACATTGAGTACACTTAACAGAAAAGTATTTAATTTTACAATAACACCAACTTACTGACAGCAAGGTAAAGTACCGTATCCATTAAATGTTGAGTTACCACAGCAACCGTAATAACAACTTCTCCACTTTGCACCATCTAAAGCCATACATGTTGAACTTCTTGCACATTCTACTGTAAAAGGATAAAGAAAACTGTAGAATTGAATTTTATTGCGTAAGGAAAGAATCCTCAAATATTTAAACCGATGGTATTTTTTTTTTATTTAAAGAAGTTCATGTTCTACTTGTTGCCCTTTGGTTACGTAAACGGTATATTTTTGTTATTTCGCAACGTGTATCAACTCTGTGCAATGTTATATAAATGAATTGAGGCAGAAGTAAAATTATGCCTTCTTTTTGATTTACTTATTTTTTCAATGTAAATTTTATTCAAATGTTCTCTTTTATAATCTCACAAATCGCCTTATGTTAATTTCACTTCTTATACTTATTATTAGATTAACTATAGACTCTGCGATGCACTTTTCCGTTAATCCTAAAACCAGACAGCATTTAAGTTATTATTAACATGCTAAATGTAATTCGTTGTCATCTTCACAATTTAATGCCGCTTAGTGGTCAATTACTAACAAGTATTTGGCAAATCAATGGTGTTGAAGAAGGGGGGACACTTTTTTATATATACATATCATTGAAATTAAAAGAACACAGTGTCTATGCATTAACCATGCTTGCTTCTTTGTCTTTCACTAATGTTTATTTGACGTCTTTTCATCATTATAAATAAACGACGAAGGAAAGTTTACATAGAACTTTACAAGAAGATATTCGCACTGATTTCAGGAGTAATTTTACATTTACTTGCAAGATGCATACGGTTATCGTTTAAATACAAAGAAAGTGTAACTTAAAGTAATTTCAACTGTCAGAAAGCTTAGAAAAATAACTATAATATTTTAATTTCCAGAAAACGAATATACATGTATTAATCCTATGTGAAACATCTATATGCGAAACATCATGATTTGCTGGGCTTTTTCGATAACTTTGACTTGATATCAAGAACAAGAAACAACAACATAACAAACTTAAAAATTGCTGGCAAAAAAAGTTAAGAAGTCAGATAGCATTTAACAGACCAGTATTCAATATCACATAATAGCAGTTGATATTACAAATTTTCTAAAAATGTTAAAAAAAAAGAGTTTCCAGGCTATACTGGCTATTACATGACCGAAAAACAAAGTGTGAATAACGCCTACAGATTAAAAGGACTGAAAAGTCTTGGTCTTGAATATTGACCTATAAATTGAATGATAAGACAATTTCGTTGTAATGCATGACTTGGATTCACGATCCTCTACAATTACATGATATGTTTGATAAGAATAATGATGTTCTTTTAGCTGTAACCATTAGCCCTTCTTACATTGTAATTCCACCGAAGGAGGTATGATAAGAGCATTATTTAGCCCCAAAAATTACAAAAAATACTAAAATTCTAAATCTTATGAAAATTTAGTTGATTCATTTGATCATTCAAAAGAGTGATATAGACTGGTTTTTAAGAGCAGGTATTTCATTTTTGATTTTATAAACATATTACAATTGACATGTTGATGTCATTTTATTGCTGTCTCATTGACGTATACCCAACAACTCCTTTAAATCATGAATTTGGACAAAACGTCCATTGCACATTATATTTTGTGAAATCAAATGAGAGCACCAGCCTTACTCATTAAGATAATTCAATAATATCAACATATTTGTACAAGATGTGGCAACATATCTTCGTGGATGGCTGTTGCACATGTCTATATATATATATGACATATATATAGATGGGATTTTCTCTAAATAGGGATTTTTGTAGTTTTTCCTTCAAAACAAAAAAAGTCTAAAGAAGATATATAAGTTACAATAAGATATAGTGTTCAAGGTATGTGATGTTCTAAACACATCTGAATGATGGCTTATAAAACTTGGTGAGTTTGAAAATTTAGAAGCCAAACAATGACCTTATCATACCTTCCAGTTCCCATTCCATACACATGTATTTATAAATGTCATTTATTGTGAACAAACTTTTGAAATATTTGACAAATCATAGTTGCTAATTACTACATAGTTGAAATGAAATTAATACTACGGTCAATTTGCGAATTGTTTTCTGGAAAGGGCATACATCAATGTAGGATACATGCATTATTGAGCATGAAAACTTTATTTATTAAAAAGTATTTGTTATCTATAAGTTTTTGCTTCCGCGTAAGATACATTTTATTTTCCCTAGTCACAGAAAACTGCTTACTTTAAAAGATCGCATATATTGACCGATTTAAATGTTGTGTTGGTTTTATACAAATTGAAATAACACTTAATAATAATTGGTAGTTATGGATTATGAAAGACGTATTTTTTTCTTCAAATGAAATCGCGATTTCTGAATAATATGTTATAGTACACCATCACTAATAATCAGAAATATACGAAAATTTTATTTACCTGTATTTGTAACAGTTAAAACAAGTAAGCTAAGAACTTCTTTCCTTTCTACCATTTTGAAATATTTTTCTTGAATGGCATTTAAAACCCGTGACCGAAAAAAACACAGTGGACTAAAAATACACCGTACTGGTTTAAATATAATCAGATCACTTAGTATAGGAAGCCTACGTTGTTTACATATAAAATATTTTGCTTCGTCATACATTACATGTACATATTACACAAGTATGACGTGATTCACTGGTAAACCCGGGTGTCATTCTTACCAAAAGGTGGGAATTTGAAAAAAAAAACAAACCTTAACATATTAAAATTACTCTCCTATAATTGTTCAAAAAGTTTCCCAACAATAGTACTGCCATAAAATATGACTTCGGGGCAATATTTTCTATTTCTATTTGTTTACTTATCACTTTTTTTTGGTATTTGATCATTTTATTTTTTTACAATCAATGTGCCGCCCGGAGTCATATCGGGCTAGCCAATTTTAGGCCCTACTCAAATTATATTGTTAAACAAAATTTTAACTTAAATGTCATTAAACTTTCGCATTCCCCCTATAAAATGAAAGTATCAACATAAAAACGTTAAAAATGGAATAAGTATGCGAAATCATATATTTTAGGGTCACGAACTATCAGAAAAGTAACCCTTCGTGTTTTATTAACATATGTCACGGTAGGTATAGTGTCCGGCTGAGATCGTGTTTTTTCGAGTGAATCGGTCCACTTTTTTTCGAGTGAATCGGTCCACTTTTTTTCGAGTGTAGATCAGGTTTTTTCGAGTGACATTACATGCGATCAGATCGATTTACTGCTATTTCGCAAATATAATAGATTTATTTGTGACTGTTCATCTTATTCTGAATGCTATTCATGTTTTGAGCACAAACGACGCACAATTTCCGTGTAGTTCACTCATAATTCAGTGTTTTATATTGTCCGTGTTTTTTCGAGAGCAACATCTTAAAAGTCCGGGTTTTTCAACAAATGGTCCGGGTCTTTTGAAGATAATATGAATAAGAAAGAAGACAATATTTGGCTTAAAAACTGACTTTTCTAGTTTGAAACTGTTATTTAGCGAAGGACAATATTATTCAAAAAAATCACAAAAACATAGTACTATGTTCAAATTTAACCGTTTTCAATTTAATGATAAAGTGTCTTAACCCAACATTAATTGTGTAATAAGAGACTTAAGTACCGTTACTAGATAATTTTATATAACCTCCGCCTAGTGAAATTCCACTATTTTGCATGATGTAGATATCTTATGTATCAATGGGTTCTCGGCTGTGTACTGAGCACCTGGAGTTCAAATATTTGATCTACCACAGGATATTCTGCATTTTTTTTAATGTCAGTTTAATGTTTCTGATCTAGCAGCTTCAGCCTCGTATCAGCTTCCGAAAGTTCATTTCATAGAAAAAATGAGACAGTGCAATTCAACAAAAATCAACGTTTCAAACATTTCGAAGAAAGATTTAGATACATTAATACAGGAGCTAGAAAACATATTACCATAACCTTGCAGTATAAAATTAGAAAAATTCAATAAAATCGCATATATTCTACTAAAAGAGGCTTCACCCCCCAAAAAATATTACCATAACATTTGAATTTGAATTGAATGGAAAATCTAATAAAAAATGAAAACAACACTTTATAAATTTCATGCATCCGAAGCTCTGGATTTACTTTTACCCAGAACGCTCAAAGTAGAATATTTGATAGTCAAGGATGTATAATAACCGAAACATTTGAAGACGAAAAGGACCTAAAAAATAGCGAAAGTCAACTTTGCCTGTTAGAGTTGAAACCTTAGTTTCTTTATAATTTTTAGATTTATGTACGGTCAATTTTAAATTATTGATTGGCTGCTTAGCGTCCAGTGGCAAATATTTCATGCATTTTCAAGACAAGAACCAATTAACAATAAATCTTGTAACAGAGGACGTTCGGGATGAAGGTCGGGAAATGTCGACTGCCACTGAAAATTCGGATATATCGGATATGGACAGTATTTTGCCTTGCAACAGGCCACCTTTGTCAAAGCTGTTGCAAGAGTTCTTAACGTACAGTGAGTGTAGCACTCTCTTCACGCCCCATTCTGACCGGATGTGGCTGTGTTCTTGAACATCCCGCATAGCCAAACGGACGCTCCTCTTTGGCAAGGGTTTAACTGCCGGTCGGAAGAGGACCTAAGTGACCATATTTCTATTCCCAAATCCTTCTTAGAGGTTAAAAATTTTAGAAAGGTTTGTTATAAATCATGTCAGTACCGAAGTATTGACTACTGAGCTGATGTTTAACTAGGGGACTTAACCAATGTATTTAATAAACAACGAAATAAATAATCTGTAAGCTTTAATACAATCCTTTTGAAATAAGTAAAAAAAAAAAAAAAAAAAAAAAATGTGCAAATAATATGCGAACACCTCACATATATAATTCTTTTAATTTCTGATGGAAACAAACAACCAGGGGAAACATTTTGTCAATATTTTCAAGATAAGAACTGTGCCAATTTTATTAAAAAAAAATGCAAAAAAATACCCAAAAAATATTTTCCAAAAATAATAAAAAACCAATATTTTCCAAATTTCTCGAAAATAAAAAAAATTTAAAAAAGGCAATATTTGACAATGTGCAGCAACATGGGTTACGAAATAATGTCGTGGAAGTTCTCCATAAGCATTTTTCAATTTTACACCCCGGTATAAAAACGAGATGGAACGCTTCATAAGAAAAAAAATCGTTATCTTGGTGTAATCAGGGGTGGACGGAATTTAATACCGGTGTTAAAAATGCATACCCCCTTCGGCTGCGCCTCATGGTTTATGAAATTTCCACACCGGTGTAAAATGCTGTACAGCCCTGATTATACCAAGACAACTTATATAATCATCAAGACAAACAGAAAATGAAACATTTAGGATGTATTTTCTGACAAAAAAAATACACACATTTACCCGGATTACACACTATGTGTATTTACGTCTCACGAAATATTTAATGTATGAAATCCATATTGGTACTCTTTCATGAAGATATCTGAAAACAAATGAACGATGCCTTTTTATAAAATGTGCGTGTTAATTCAGCATTATCAAACTGTATGGAACGCCGACACTGTCTTATTATGACATTTCTCATTATATGATGTTCATTTGCCATTATATGATGTCATTTTACCCTTATATGATGTGCAAATGACATTATTTGATGTGCACTTGTCCTTATATGATGTACACTTGTCATTATGTGATGTCAACTTGTCCTTATATGATGTACATTTGTCATTATATGATGTGAAGTTGTCCTTATATGCTGTCCAAACACATTTATATGAGGTGCAAACATCTTTATATCATGTGCACAATTCATTATATGATGTGCTTTCTCCATTATGTTATGTGATTGAGTCCTTATATTATGTGATGCTTTCCTTATACGATGTAGAAACGGCATTATGTGATGTGCAATCACCTTTATACGATATGCAATCACCTTTATATGATGACAATTTGACATTATCTGATGTGCAAATTATATTATATGATGTGCAAATTATCTTATATGATGTGCAAATGGTCTTATATGATGTGCAAATTAACTTATATCATGTACAGATGTCTTTATATTATGTGCAAACTTCTTTATATGATGTGAACTTATCCTTATGTTATGTGCTAACATCGTTATATGATGTGGTAAGGTCATTATATTATGACAATGTAACATCATATGGTGTGGTTCGGTTTACATCTTTATATGATGTCAGAACATCATTATGATGATGTCGAAACTTCATTATGATGATGTGCATTCATCGTCCTGATGGTCAATGAACATGATTACGATTAAAGCGATTACTCACTACGTCAGAACTGATTCCGATCTGCTTCTACGAAAAAAGCAGTTAGGGGACGACCATTTGATATTCTGGGGGGGGGGGGGGGGGGCAGGAGGATTTTGAAAATAAATAACTCAGCCTTGATAATCACAAAAATAAATGGTTTGTTCTGTGGTAGTTTGAAAATAAATTACCTGACTTGCAATGTATTGAAAATAAATAACTCAGCAGGTCTAATCGAAAGTATGAGATGGCACCAGATTCTTCATAAATTCATCTTTTTTCCAAAAAAAAAAAATCGAGAAACACTTCCCATATCTTTTAAATTAATAATAAAAGTATAAATATTATTTAAATATACTTGCTGTGACCTATAATGGTTTACTTTTATAAATTTTGACTTGGATGGAGAGTTGTCTCATTGGCTTTCATACCACATCTTCTTATATCTATTGAAATGTCAGAAAATTGGTTTCATTTAACTTGAGGTTAATTGTCTCAGGAACACTTACCTCACTTTTATTAAATCAGGGCCGTAACTACATTGAGACAAATGCCTCATGTGGGAAATTTCAAAACCAAACGCTTGTCTCCATATCAAATTGTGTTCACCGTGAGTGCCTTGCAAGAAGCAAGTTCTGTTCTCCCTCAGACGTAGCCCCTGACTTTTTGGGATCAATGTTTCTTATTTATTTGTCTTTTGTTCATTGATTGCCCTTCTGTATTCTGTTAGTGTTGCATTCATTTTGTAATTTAGTAATTTTATTATTAACTTGATCATGAGTTTAAAAAAACACAGCAGCCACAGACTTAACTATGTGAATTACATTTTTGCTTTATCATGCATATTTGTCTTTTGATGTTGTTCCTAGAAACTTTAGTCTTACACTGAATCTATAACGTGATTTTGCTTTGAGACCAAAATATTGTCATAAAATTATTAAAACAGAACTTGCATTTTCAGTTTAAGAAAGGGTCTGGGGAACACCCAGAAGGCATGATTTTGCATCATTTGTTCTATAGCTTCTTGGGCCTTCAGCGGTTCAAAAACCCTTCAAAAAAAAATTTGCCTCGCTCCGCTCGGCCAAACATGTTTGCCAATACTTTTAAAAGAGCCTTAGTTACAAACAAACTTTAATACTGTGTATGTATGCAATACATATATATGCATTGGGGAATATATGAGATTCATTTCTGCAGAGGATAATGATTAATTCTGATTAAATGGTACATAATGACTTGACTATACATGAATTATTTATAATAAACAAATAATTTAAAAATTGTATGTTTTCGAATATATAA